CGTTTACCAGCATCGTCAAAGACCAGATTGCCAAAGCAAGATCAATTGGAATCAAGTGTGTGTCCTTAGTAGACATAGACTTTGACAATTTTTCTTGGGCAAAACTTTATCAACAACGGAGATTGCACCTACATGTTGTTATGAAGAAGATTTACAATTTTCCCGAGAAATCTGATGTGCCAAAGTTTATACTTCCCGTGAAAATTAATGGACTTATTCTTTTCTGTGGTTTCAGGGGTGGAAATAAAAAATTTGCGGAGATCAGAGCAGGATTTTGTGTTTCTTAACTAAACAGATGGATTCAAGATCTCTGGGATAATGGTGCTTCAAAGGAACCGAAGAATCCACTCCCAGAGTGGATTTTTTGGTTCCTTTCAGGCACCATGATCCGAGAGATCTTAGATTGATCTGTTTATTAAAGAAATGTTAAATCTGCTTTCGGATTCTTTCAGATTTAAGAATCCAATCTTGGATTTTCTTAAAAAAACACACCCCCAAACTGGTACAATCTCGCCATTTTCACAAAACGGCTCCACCACCAATGATCCCGGCAAACAAACAAAACGGTTGACAAAGGATCGCACCCTTTGGTCAAGGGCGTGCCCACGTGACAGTTTGACAGCCACGTCTTTGATTGGACAGATTTTGACAGTGAGATCTGTGATTGGTCACCAAGGATGCGCCTGATTCTTTTCGTCAAGGTGTTTTGTCGTTTGAAAATCGCAGCCACTTCGTTTAACGTGATCCTCATGTCACGACAATGATCACTACAGGGGAAATATTCGTCGAATTTCAACATAAAATCAATAGGACAATCGAGATTTAATCGGAAAGCCATTGATCGTAATGACTCCTCCATCAGTTTTAGCCCGGACTGGGATTTGCATTGCAGTTGTAGTAAAAAGACCAGAGTGATTGAAATCTGCGACTCCCCGGCTTAATTATGGAGGGCACTAGTCAGGAAAACAAGAGTGATCTTTAAAATCAGACTGACTAAAAACGTCCAGCATGATCAGTTTGCAATTAAGGAGTGCGGGAGATTGTTTACGGTCTATACGCACGAGGCCGGCACGGAAGTGTTTGTAAAAGAGAAAATCACTTGTAGCAGTTCAAGTCACCGATGAGTTGAAGATCGGATATTTAAAGGACGAGACGAGTTTTGGAAGTACATAAAAGTGTGATAGAGATGCATGGCCCTGATGTTGTGTTCTTTACTTGTAAAGACCAAAAGCAAGGAGGTGAGATCCCATTCAGTTTTCTTACTCAGTTATGGCAACTGGCATTGTCATTAATTAAAATAATTTCAGGTTGATGCTAAAAAAGTTGTGTTTTCATTGCCGTTTTGATTTAGACCGCACCGACCGATATTAGAGCGCTCAAAGCTGTCTGATATTTTTCCCGCGCAAAACACGCATTTATAAGCTGATTGGCATGAGTGCGAATATGTCATGAATTGTGCGGGAGTGCCAAGTGCCTCTTACAGTCTAACTCTAGCTTTTTCTGCGACAAAACAATTATTCTTAAATACCCCAACGTTTCAAGAGGTTCGGTCAACAAGTTTGGCACAAACGAAACTTGCCGCGAGATTGAATACGAAAACAGCTCCAAACGTAATCTCTTGTATCTTACCTCAGTGTAAGCTTTAGCAGTTGACTGATAAAGTATAAAACACTAAGTCCGTACTGTAAACGAAAATCTATAATGTTTCATTCCGTTGAATATTTGATGGAAACATCTGTGGAGCGGCCGTTCAGATGGCTTTGAAGAGACTTCACTGGTCTCAGCGTGTCGATCGATAAGAACTTATAGCGGATCGATCGTGTTTTCACTATGTGAAAGA